CCCCGAATGGTTCCCTTCTCTGCGGGGTCATTGGAAAGCTGGGATGCACCATGAGAAAGCTCAACTGGCCATTTTGATCGGAAGATCCTGAAGGGGGTTGTTTTGGGGGGCTCTGCGGCTATGTTGTGTCTACTCAGTGGATTGATCCTCACCCCCCTGAGTAATACTATATATATATATAGATGTATACACATATATGATATGTATATATATATATATATATATATAGGGAGTGCCCTCCAAGAAGGACCCCAGTACCATTTTCAGGTCCCAGTCGCCACCCTCACACTTACCACTAATTTTGACTTTACGGCTTCATGCTGAAAGGATTGGTTTGGAGTCGATTGGCTCGAGCTGGTCGATTGGGGATCTCTTTCACTTCATCGGCACAGGATCCAACTCCCCCTTCAGTGTTTCCCCAAAATTCTGTAAGGCCCAAAAGAGACCTTCTGGGAGGAAGGGCAGCGGAGGTATGGGGGGGGATCCCATGATAAAACCTCATAGATGAAGTGGCCATGGGTCAAAATTTTGTATTTTCAGGGAACATCCCAATCCAACCACTCAAATCCCGACTCAAATGGGTGGTGAATTCACCTACCCACCAAAATGGGATCCCAGAACGTTTTTGACAACCACACGTAGCCGCCAACTCGATGTGCGTCACCCGGTTTGGAGGAGCTCCCATGGTTGATTGCCGCCCTCCGCCGCGCACGGGATGCCTTCCTGAGAACGGCGGTGAAGCCCGCAGAGTCCCAGGAGGAAGCCGTGGAAACACACGTTAAATAACGGGAAGCTCTGGTGCCCAGTGGGTTGCTTCCTTTTTTCAACTTATTTTTGGTAAGGGTTCCGCCGAATAAACTCAACCGACCAAACAAATGCCCTTTTTTTCCCTATGGGCACTGGGCATCTAAGGAAACTAAGATCGGATTTGTGTTGACAAGCATGGTTTACACATTAGACACGGGTTTGTCCAGGACACGAGTGACTCGAGTTCCACCAGGAGGCCGACGGAAAGAGAAACCAGCCCTGTAGACACAGGAAGTTCAGCTAGGACGACGCTTGACATATGAAATATATATTTTTGGTTTTGTGTGTTTGTGTTGCTGCCTTGTCAGATGTTCGTTAGCATATGTTAACTTGTTTGTTTGTTTTGTGATTTGGCTTTTCGGGGCCCTACATGCCTTGATCCAGCCATGGAGTTGCAGACTGCCTCAATTGGCAGGCCCATGCTGTGAAGGTAGTGACTAAAGTCAGATGGGGTTGTGCCTTGAAAGCCCTGCCAGAATGCAGGTGCCTTGGAAAAAGATGCATGGGGCAAGACTTACGGGGAGGGTTTCGGCCTTTCAGCTTCGCAGATGAGGTTCCATGCGATCGTCAATCGGCTGTAGTGATGCCCTGCTCTCTTCTGTGGCTTGAAACTGCAGCAATCAGCCGCTCTCATCCCATGATGTCCGTAAGATCCCAAACCTCCACCGAGCTTTCACTTCGGCTCCACCCAGACGCTGAGTCTCAGGAAGCGCAAGAAGCCGCGAAGGAGCAGCATGAGCTACTGGACCCCTGAGTCCCTGGAAGCCATGGAGGCTCCCAGAAGATGAGTGAAGGTGGGCTGTCCAAAAGCGTGAGGTCACATGTTGGACAGCAGGCACAAGGGATCCTTAAAGTGATTTGCTTCTTTTTTGGACACCCCGCACTGGCAAGAAGCTTGCCATGTTCATTTCAGACCCACAGATGGCCGGCCAGATTGGCGATCGTTGTGGCCGGGTCAGAATTCGAAGCGCGTTTCACGAGCAGCAAGCCAACTGCGCAGTTGTAAATCATTGTTTCACCAGAGGATTGAAATCACACTCGTAGAAAGGAGCTCAGATTGCGCCGCAGGCATGGACCACCGGGAGATGGCCGGGAAGCTGGCCGAGTGTCCGCAATGTACTCCCTGCAAACGTGCGTGACACCCAAGGGTCCACCAAAAGGAGATTCCTCTATACCTTTGTAGAAAATTATCTTCTGGGTGTATGACAATCTTTGGACGGAGCGCTAAAGCCCACGTCGCGGTTTTGCCACGCTTGTCTATGAGAGAGGCGTTTGAATGTTACTGTGTTGCAGCATTCCACCTGAAAATATCCAAAGCACTCGGTTTGAGTTACTTACTACGCCGCCTTCCCTCGATTGAAACCGGTTGAGTTTGCTTCTCTTGGGGCACCAGTTCAAAAAGTGATCGCTTTTCGCATGTCTCGAAGCATGGCTATGCATATATATATATATAAGTATATGCATACGTAGGTAGTCAAAGACACGGACCTTTCCCTTCACAGGTCATTCCCTGAGCACACTAGCGTGCGTCCGCGCCACGCCTCCGGTCCTCTTGGAAAGTGATTGGAGCCATTTAACAAAAAAGCGGTAGTTGCGAGGCTACCGTTTTTTGTGGAGAGGAACACCACTATCCACTGGGGCCCCACAAAGAAGATAGCTTCACTTGTCCAGCTTTGGATTTCGCCCTTGCCAGGGGAAGCCTTCGGTTGACAGGCGGGGCAGCCTGGAGAGAAGGTGATGGGTGGGTTCCCAAACCTGGGGTAGACTTAGGATACATTTTACATTTTACCAGTGACTCAAAGTGAAGCAAAGACTGACATATACATTCTAGAACTGGGCCTAACTCTAATCATGAAAAGTGAACGTTTTTTGAGGGTTCTCAAAAACATGGCCGGATTATTTTGGGGGGGTGGTTTCGCTTCAAACCACCCTTGAGAGGGTAATTTTGAGGATGTCAGTCTAGTGGACCCAGCAGTTCACGGCAGGTCTGGAGCCAAATGTGAAACACATTTGGGGGTCTGATAAACTCTTGATCACCGCCGTTCTGAGTGATCATGGCGCAGTCCTGTTTGTTGGGGGCACACCACTTGATTCCCAGTATTTCCCTTTCATCCCATGTAAACATCACCATTTGCTGTAGGCCACGTTTGGAGGAGTTTCCTAGGGAGCCCTTTCGAATCAGAGCAAGGCCCGGCTTGTCGACCCACTGTAATTTTCTCTGCCTTTCTCGCTGTGCTTTGTACACTTGCCACGGCCTGTGATTGATTGAAACCCTGGACGATTTGCGAGCCGGCAGAGTCAGCCAGTATTTCTCGGAGTGGATGTGTGCTCATCGAAGCATGGGACAGTTTGGACATGAACCCCGCAGGATCTGCAGACATACGAGTTGTACTTCTCAACAGACTGCGGAAGTTCGTCTCGATCAGGATAGCGCTTTGCTGCAGTCAACGACCACTTTGTGCGTGGAAGAGACAACATATGATGGCATTCACTTGGAAGCTGCTGTCAGTCTTGTCCTTAGATCACTTTGGAAATGTTTGGGGGCCCAACAAGTGGCTCCGGTGTCTATGCCAAACTTATCCCTGCCGTGGACAGTTTTGGCATGGACTACTCGATGTAGAAGGTGTTATTGGGAAAAAGTGAGGGGGCCCAAAATGGATTCAATCAGCGGGTTGCATCTTGCACCAAAGGACAAACATGTAGCCCATGTGTGTGAACCCCTTCTTGGGTCACCCAAGAAAGGGCCATTGGTGTTTGGTATTCAACAAGATTCGTGCTCGCCTTTCCAGGCTTTGCCGCCCGGCCAGCCAGGGGGCGGTGAAACGAAGAGGCGGGAGGCTAGTGATTTGCCCACCCCGGAAGTTCACGTGGGAACTCAAAACTTGATGGCTCCCAGCCATCCCCTTAGCTTCTTAGCTTTTTAGCTTTTTGTGGGGATTTCCATTTAACCCACTACATGTTAAACTTTTAGCGGAAGATCTGAGGACAGCCGTGTCAAATCTGTTTCCGTGTTTCGAACATTCCGCATGTGTTAGCCATGAGGGCCACTGCAAGAGCCACCTCAATGCCTGTGTTTCGATCGCATGAGCGCCATAGAGCTGAGTTGCTTGGGCTTCTATAGTTGAGCCAGTATTTAGTCACCTCTGACAATTATATGCGAGCCGTGTCCGGTTTCAAGAATAGGTAACATGAACAGGCAAATAGATGATCTTACCATTCAGAGAATGTTGAGCATGATGTGTCTTTGCGTCTGCATGCAAGCCTCAGGCCGCTTGCTTGACTCAGACGTGCAATTATGTTGTAGATACATATCAGTACAGACACAGACACAAAGTCGGTAGGAAAGCGTTGCATGCTACAGTATGTGACGGGAAGCGCATTGTTCGTATGGCACAGCCTGATTTGAGAGTCGGAGTCAAGCGTTCTGATTGTATATAATGGTGTGATCAGTGGAACCGCTGTGGGTATTGATCCATCGAAGGACTCCTATGCTTATGCAGACCACTCATGAAGCAGCTTACTGCATGGGGACGACCCAAGGCATTTTGGATGCTTGCTTGTTGCACTGCCAACTTTCTGGACTTTTGGGCACTTTTTGGTGAGCTTGAGCTGGGGTAAAATGAGCTCACCCATGAAGGTCCTTGACCTCATTTCCAGCCTGGGTTTTTGTGGTATGACAACACATGGGGCGAGTAAGGTCAGAGACCTTGCTGTCCAAGGCCTTTGAAGGTTCAGGCAGGTTCAGGATGCTCTGGCCACTTGGACCCTCTCAGGCATCTGGGTGTGTCTTTTCTGAAGGCAGTCTTTGCCTTTGTGGCTTCAAAAAAAAAACAATGGACAATTAAAGCTTCCCATTTCCAACAAGCTGGCGATAGTCGCCGACGGTTTTGGGGGGGAGGGCTCTGTGATGCTTTCACTGCCCCCAAGTTCCAAGTTCCACTACTCCTGTAGCGTGGATATTTGAGCATGAATTGAGCGCTGTTACTTGTAGTAGATATCTTCTTATGGTGAGTAACAATCAGTTTGCGCATGGTTCCCCAATTGTGTATCTCCCATGTCCTGGTTGATATCTCCACACTTCCAAATTGGTGCTAACTGTATTGGCCGGGTGTGCTAACTGCTTGTTGCTCAGTGAGCAAGTACCGGGCCATGCGAAGTGCACCTAGAGTCTCCACAACCCTCTAAAAATGGGGGTCATGACCCAAAACAAAGGGGTCATGGACCCATTTTTACAGGGTCAGAAGGAGGCTCCAGGTACCTATCGCACCTCTCCATTCGTGGTACCTCTCCATCCGTTCGCCTCCCGCCACCACCTCCCGCTGAAAGCCTCGGCGAGTCGTGAGGCCGGCGGGTGGCGCAGCTTATGGAGGGCGGCCTCTTCGGCACCACCGGGGAGGCGGAGCCCTTCACCGTGCTGGCGCAGACCGCCTGCGAGGCCTGCGGGGAACGCGCGGCGGAACGTGGCAACTGCTCGGCTGGTGGCAAGCGGAGGTGGGAAGACCTGAAGTTGGTTCCCTTGGTCGGGATATATTAATACATACATGTAAAGATGTTCAAATTATATATATATATATATATGTGCTTATGTATTTAGTTATCAGGTCTATTTGTTTGGTCAACCCTTTGAGTAGATCCAACTGTCAACAGGCTAAATGGATTGTGCGCACTCACGTGGCCCAGGTCTTCTCAGTCGCGAAGGCTGACTTTGTTCGCTTGCCCTACCGGGTGATCAGTGCTGTGCAGGAGGGAGGGGCTATAGAGGGTCGAGACGACAGGAAGCGGTTTGCTCCGCGATGCGCCGTCAAGGATCCGTTGGGGTAGGGATGGTCTACTCCTTGGTAGAGAGTTCAGATGGGGAACCAAGACGTATGAAAAGAGACGGTACCTATTAGAAGCTTCCCGGAAAGGCCATGACGGCGATTTTGGAAACCTGAGCACGATGAATCAGGAGGCCATCTTTGCAGCACATTGAGCAACTTGCTGAGGCAAGTCGAGTTTGGTATGCTGAATCAACAAAAGCCATGCCATGGAGGAGCGTTCGAGTCAAGACATTGCTGCGCATCAAAAGGTCCCATCGAATTGAGCCTTCGGACGCCAAGCCCGTGAATGTCCCATCCCTTTGTGTTTCTTTGCATTCTGGAGTGCATGTAATTGTTGGTCACGTGTTTGTTGGGTCTTTTTAGTTTGGGGTTGGACTCCGTCTCAGAGTCTATCAACACGGTCAGCAAAACCGATTGACATCCGCATCGCATCGGAGCAAGGAGCACCACATGCAGGCCACGATGTGGCGCTTGCAGCAGTGCATCGAGGGCCGGAAATTTAAAGCCCCGGAGAAAACCAAGGAGAGCTCGGACGCGGTTGCGGTTGCGGGGTTGAGGGCTAGCGCTGGATGGATCGTCCAAGGCAAGAGAATCGAGAGTGGTGTCCTTTTTTGGCGAGTTTTCTTGAACGTAGGTTTCAGTTTGGTTCGATGCTCAGTTTCCAGTGGCACCCATCTATGTTTCCCAAAGAACACCTATGGGGTTGGATGTTTTCTTCCCGCATCTTCTGCGACTGGACATTCTGGGACTCATCGACTCATCAGGTCGGCGGCACCCGAACAACCCAACACCCCATTCGCCGTTTGTGGTCGGTGGTTCCCCTGAAACTCTATTGCTTGCACAGGAGTTGTAGCAAGGCCTATATCAACCTTTATAACCATCCTGGTAGAAGCAAAAGTCAATGAGATTTGGTCGCTCCTCGTTTGATGTTTGACATTCGCTTGAACCGAGCAGAGAACTTATGTATTGAATGCTGCTGGGAATCTTTGACCATAAAGAATCGATAGCAATTAAAAGGGGCCTGAAAGGGAGAAGTGCAGTTTGATTAGTTTGGTTACAGCCCCTTGAAGACCAAGTCTTGCAACAGCAAACAGCTCAACTGGAACAGCTCTTTTGTCCTCCCGTTACAACAGAAGCAATGTTTTTTGCGTGGAATCTAGCAGGGTTGAGCCATGATGCCATCGATGCTGAACGCAGAGCAGCATGGCTAGTAAAAGGGCCTATATAATTAATTACTTAGCGAGGCATCAGGTGAGGGACTTTGAACATGGAAGTCCGGGTGTGGAGTGCGTTCACAACCCAGGATATGCCACATTTTAAGGACATTCGGATCACCATTGAGGGAACCACCCAATTTGACCCATCAAGTTGATTGCTTCAAGGTTGAGATGACTGTGTCATGTTTTGTTCGAGCATTAGATGACTGATGGGTGTGCACAGGAGTCCAATTCTGGACGACTGCAAGGTAGACTTAAACCCAGGGCGATGATTTACCCAAAGGGTTTCAGCCTACCTTGGGATAGTGAAACAAATGAGCCACAATCAAAACCCGGGTAGATAAAGGTTAGTAAGGGACGATCCCAACCATAAATTGCTGCGGCCGCCTTCTTAGTTCTTTACATGGTTCTGGGTGGACCATTTTAGTGCCAGGTTTTGATTGCGACTCAAATGGACTCCTGGCTGTGCATCTCCCGCATCCGTGCACCTGAGGAGCGACCTCGGCAAGTACCTGAGACAAAGCGCAAAGTACTGGTCTCTCGCCAGAAAAAGGGCTTGGTACCAAAACGTCGGATGGTTGAATCGCGCCATCCAACAATGGGCTTCAAGCAAGTCAGCTTGAACGTGCTAAATTGAAAGTTATGTGTTCTCAGAGGTCTAAAAATAGGTTGAGATGCATGTCTTGTGAATTCGCACCTGTTCTTCCCCCTTGGTTGGTACTCCTTAAATACCCTTCCAGGAGTATGTCCAGGTGCGTCCAAGCCGTTTTCTAGCACGGGAGCTCCGCAGCCCTTCAGCCATGCTAGCCCACGAGACTTGGGTCTGAGATCAGAAAGCGTCGAGCCCGGGAGATTTCGAAGCCTTCCAGAGCCAGGCTTCAACCTGCCGGTGTTATGCCAGAACCATGCTTCAACCACCCGGTATATACTAAAAAATGGTAAGCCCAGAACCATTCATGGTCCAACCGTTTTCCACCAATCATTCACAGCTGCAGCAGCGAGGAGTCTGCGGGCTAGCCAAAACGCGAATGAGCTGCTCTGCATGAGATACTGTATGTCTCTTGTCCTTGTTGTAGAAGTTGCTTTTTCCAAAGACATTTAGCTTCGCTTCCTGGAATACAACCATCTTGGTGCTGTGCCTTGGCAAAGATGTCAGGTGAGACCAAACAGCGTTTCAAGTTGTGATACTGCTTGCCAACGATTTACTCAACGACACGACTCATGCTGACTTGGCCAATGGGCGTGCGGGAAAGAAGCATCTAACTGGCTAACCGCACATAGTCGCACTTTTTGCCGATTCCCGCGCGTTAGTTTGCATGGTGCCGCTGCTGTCCTCTCTGCATCGAAACACATCACGGCCTCTCTTTTTTTTGTTGTTTCTCACCCCTCCTGCGCGCGCCCCAGGCGGAGCTGTTGCACTGCGATTTGGACAACGTCGAGGAGCGAGGTGCGGGCAAAGTCAGGGAGGGCGACAGTGGCTATCTATTTCACCCTTGGTTGGTGGGGTCGGGCATGGCACAGGAAACTTGAGCAATCACAAAGATCCCATGAATGGATGAGCACCACCAATTGGTGGAGTTTTTCTCATATATGGGTATGTGCGCGTGTTTGTTTTTTGAGGGTACGATTTAGGCTGGTGTAAAGGGAAACCAAAAGGAACACATCCATTTTGACACCCATATTAATCTGCCTGGCAAGTTGCGAAATGTTGTTCTCAATGCCCACCTCCTGGAGCCTTTGCTGACTCGCAAGCAAAGAAAGAAACGTGGTCGCCACAAGGACGCTTTGGCGGGGGGCAATTCGAATGAAATGGGCGATTCTGTTTTTTGAGGGTACCCTGTCAACCTTTTGGAGGCGCTCCGCATCGTCACCAACACGCTCTGGGCCTTGTGAGAGCGCCAAAAAACTAGGGGTTGAGGCAAATAGGGTTTTAGGAGCACCTGCGAGGGAATCTGGTTCAAAGCGATAAAGCAGTGGGATTGACCCATATTTGTCTCACAAAAAGGGTGATTTGACCCACAACCGTGGGTCCAGTTTTTGAGCGAGCAGACAAGGCAGACAAGCCAGAGTCGTTGATATTCCAACCATTGGGCCGTGGCTTCAGTCGATTGGGCTAATCAAAAGCTGGCTGAGCCTTGCGCCAGGTGAGTCTGCTGCGCTGCCGCTCGGCACGCCAAACTGCGCAACGCTGAACGCCCAAAGCTGAAAAAGTTCTGACCATTGCAAAGGGTTGACGCAGAGTTGCCGCATGGCGCCGGAACAATTGGCGACCTAAGAAGTGGGTGCTGTTGTTTTGAGGGCTTCGGCTTCAGTCAGGCCAGCAGGTTTGTCGGATCTGCTTGCCTGAGCGGGCAACATGGTCCAGTCGCGGCGTTCCTGCTTGAGACTGTGTTTGGCTTGCTTGGGCTTGCCGGCTTGCTGGCTTGTGTGTGTGTGTTTTGCTGTTTGTGTGTGTGTGTTATTGTGTTTGTTTGTCTTAGTGCCACGTCTCTTCCCTGCGCGCGCAGCCCGCAGCCCAGGCGGATGCTCAAAGAGAGCATCTTGGCCGCAGATTGTGCGTTTGCTATTGTCACCGAGTCGCCAGATCTTACTTAGTGCCATGACCAGGGTGAGAATCGGGAAACGGGTGAGTTGACTGTGGACGAAATGCTTCCTGCTTCATTGGCGTCTTTCTCTTCTCCACCAAAATCGCATGTGGTCGCTTGCCATCCTTCCCTGAAAGCACCCCGAGCGACTCACCGGGGACCATGTAGTCTGCATTTGGCTGGCTGAGGACTCCTGGTTGAGGGGATACGCCTGTAAGTCTTGAAAAGAGGCTTGCTTCTTTTGCAAACATTGTTGCGTTTTAAGAAGGCCAATTCGGTGATTTTCTTGCCAAACTGCTGCTTTTCAAGCAGGTACCAGCTTTTGTTTGATGAATGGCTTGAGCTCCGAACAACAGGTTGCAGGAACTCTGCTTACTGGGTGCCATTAAGCGCACATGGTTTGTCCATTTTGTTTTTGTTTTTGTTTAAGCCAAAGGGGACGGGAGTAGCCTTTTTCACCACCCCCTGTTTAGCCACCAGCTGACTTGCTTCGGGCTGCAGGCTTGACAAAAGCCGCGGTCACCGGGCTGGACCTGCGAGCTGCTTCTCCCAAAGGTGCGGAGGTTGAGGG